AAAAAAAAAAAAAATCATTGTTGATGAAGATGTGGAAAAACTAACATTCATCCATTACATGTAGGAATGTAAAATGGTATAGCCACTTTGGAAAACAACTTGGCAATTTCCTCAAAATTTTAAACATAGAGTTGTGTTTAAACATAATGACCCAGCAATTCCTCTCCTAGATACATACCCAAAAGAATTAAAAGCTTATATTCACACAAAAAGCTTGCACATAAATGCTCATAACAGCATTATTCATGATAGTAAAAAATGTTCCTGAACTGACAAATGGATTAAAAATATGTTATCTGGGCTCGGCGCCTGTGGCTCAAGTGGCTAAGGCGCCAGCCACATACACCTAAGGTGGCGGGTTCGAATCCAGCCTGGGCCAAAATCTAGAAAAGACTCTATTCTTTTTGTATTGTTTTTTAATCAGTGAGGAGATTAAAATAATCTACGTGTTCAAGTGTTATCTGGGCTCGGCGCCTGTGGCTCAAGTGGCTAAGGCGCCAGCCACATACACCTAAGGTGGCGGGTTCGAATCCAGCCTGGGCCCGCCAAACAATAATAATGGCTTCAACCAAAAAATAGCCAGGCATTGTGGCAGGCACCTGTGGTCCCAGCTACTTGGGAGGCTGAGGCAGGAGACTCGCTTGAGCCCAGGAGTTGGAGATTGCTGTGAGCAGTGAAGCCATGGCATTCTACCCAGGGGGACAGCTTGAGGCTCTGTCTCAAAAAAAAAAAATGTTATCTGTTTATATGATAATGTTACTTGACACCGATAAAGAATGAACCACTGATAGATGTCACAACATGGATTCACCTTGAAAACTTTAAGCTAAGAGAATGAAGCCACATAGGAAAGAACACATTATGTGATCCCATTTATATGCAATGTCCAGAATAGGCAAAGGTAGATTGGGGATCTACAGGGAATTTAGGAGGACAGGGCGATAGAGAATGGCTGCTAATAGGTGTGGGGTTTTTGTCTAGAGTGATGAAAATGTTCTAGAGTTAGTGATGAGGGTTGTACGACCTTGTAAAAACCACTGAAATACATACTTCCAAGGGGTAAATTTTATGGTATAAGAATTATATCTAAAAAAAAAAATTTTTTTTTTAATACAGTCTCATTTTATCACCCTCAGAGTGTTGTAGTGTTATAGCTTATCGAAAGCTCATACTCTTGGTCTCAAATGATCCTCTTGCCTCAGCCTCCTGAGTAGCTAGAACTACAGGTGCCTGCCATAATGCTGGGCTTTTTTTTTTTTTTTTAGAAACAGGGTCTCATTCTTGCTTAGGCAATTTATCCACTTCAGTCTCCCAGAGTCATTTTTTTTAAATGGGGGAAAATCACTGCTTTGAAAGTCTTTTTGCACTTAAAATTTATTTATTTATTTGCAGTTTTTTGGCCTGCTCCTTTGAGCCACAGGTGCCACCCTCACTTAAGATTTTTCTTAACCAACATAGCAAAGGACATTGTGTATATATATATATATGTATGTAAATAAATAAATACTTTTTGTGGCAATGACAAAGTTATGTGGACCAACTATTTTTTTTCTTAGTAATGTTCTATTTTAATCACTACAAGTGACATGATAATACTACTTAGGGTATTAAGACTCTGAATAAACATTGAAATCAAAGTAAGTGTAAATAACCTTTATCATTGCCATTTTGTCAGAGTTTTAAAGGAAGAAAAATCCTCTTCAAACTAGCCTCTGAAACTTGTCATGAGATTTAAGAGAACTGAATATGTTTATGGGCGAGATGTGATCAGTAGCTTTGGTGATTTGAAACAGTGTGTTCTCCATCCTAGGGAATGAATCATTTGCAAAAATTTTTAAAAATATTTTTCTTTTTAACTTACTTCTTAATTGAGGTATATTTTACATCCAGTAACCTGCACAAGTATTGTACAACTAGATGAAGTTTCACATATGTGAATATCCATGCAAATGAAATCAAAACATTTCCAGCAACTCAGAAGAGACTAAGGAGCTTTTTATGACTTAAGGGTGCTCAGACTCCAATGGCACCAACAGCCATGATAATAGCTCATGGCATTGTAATTTCCAGGGAAGAAGTTGAAGCATGTATTCTTGTTATTTTTAAATATTTTCCAGGTGATTTTGGTACAATTAATCCACTGACTACTATGAAAAGACAATGATGTAAAAGAGTAATTACTGGAGAATACCACTAGGGAACATGATGCTTAGGTTGGATTTGGATACAGTGGTTCTATTTTGAGCTATTCAGAGATAGGCCAAATTATTAAAGTCCATCTTAATCTAGCTTTTTTGTTTTACAACATTATACTTGAATTTTGCTAATAGGTACCTACGCCTAAACAATTTTTATCCCCTAAGAAAATCATATTTAAAATGTCTAAACTAATAGGGTTGTAAGAAATAATTGTTCCCTGGGCTGGTCTTAAACTTTTGGCCTCAAGTGATCCTCCTGCATCTGCATCCCAAGGTGCTAGGCATGAACCACTGCACCTGGCCTGTCCTATAATTTTTTAGTTAAGCTTTATTTCTTCTCGGTGTACTTCCCACCTCTCCTTACTAATTTTGAGTCAGAAATTCAAAATATATGTCAAATTGATAATGAGGTAGGACATTATTATCTAGTATCTAGAAAAGATACTAGGTAATAATTTAAATGAAATATATACTTTTGTATGCTATAGTAAGTATATAAAGTGGTATAATCTCTGTGAGGGCAACTAAGCAATATGTATGAAGGACTTTGATATTTATTTGACCTGATAATTCTACTCTTAGGAATTAATCCTAAAAAAAAAAAAATTAAGATGCTTATAAAGATTTATGTATATAGGCTCAGCACCTGTGGCTCAAGTGGCTAAGGGGCCAGCCACATATAGCCAAGGTGGCAGGTTCGAATTCAGCCCAGGCCCACCAAACAACAACCAAAAAATAGCCGGCTGTTATGGTGGGTGCCTGTGGTCCCAGCTACTTGGGAGGCTGAGGCAGGAGACTCACTTGAGCCCAGGAGTTGGAGGTTGCTGTGAGCTGTGATGCCACAGCA